ACCTTTAAAGAATATATTTAAATTTAATTATAAATTAGTCTATATAAAATTTTATAATTTAATTAAACATAGATTTTTTTCAGAAAAAATAAATGAAGAAAAAAAGTTATAAAAATAGAATTTAATTTTTTTCATAGAAAATAGAAATAAACAATGAGAGAGAAATAAAAACTAATACAATCAATAGAAAAAAAAAATTTAATCATAACTCTAATGTTTGTAGAAGGGAAAATGAAAGAGAAATATTAAAAAAAATGCATATTAATTTCTTCTTCTTCTTCTTTGGGAAGTCTCCCAAAACCTTGTGATTAATGGGAGACAAAATTTGATATTTTATTTAAGTACTTTTTACTTAAAAACTAATACCATGTAGACTTATAAAAGTTTCTAAAAGTCATAAAAAATTGAATACCCCAAAACTTATAGAGATTTCTAAAAAAATTTAATTGAATATACAATGACTTTTATAGACTTTTTGAAAGTTTATAAAAGTCTCAATTGAATACACCAATACTTTTAGAGAATCTTTAAAAGTCGTCATTAAATATTCCTGAACTTTTTAAATCTCAAAAAGTCATTAAAAGTCTCAATTGAATATACATCTCTTAGTAAATTAAATTATTAATACCACTTGCAAAAAACTGGGGGCAAATACATGGTAGCAAGTAGGTTTTTCTTAGCCAATGGTCCCTAGCAATTACAATTATGTATCATCAAGGACCACAAGTTACGAAATTGATAAAATAAAAGAAAAAAATGCTCTTGATGTATCGACAAGGGTTCTATTCAGGTCGTTTTTAAGTAACGTGACAAGTACGATCAAACATGAATAATGCAAAAGTTTTAATTCACATATAGGGTGTGTTTCAGTCACATTATTTCGAAAGAATGTATTTTGGAATAGTAGATTGATAGAGAATGTGTGGTTGAAAAAGAATGAAAAGTTATTGATGTGGTGGAAAATATTATTTTATTGAAAAATGTGTGATTAAAATGAGTAGAAGAATGTGAATGAAAATTTTAATGTGCCTCGAACTGGGGCATAATACAAGTTAGGTTTTCAACCATTTATTTCGAGATGACAGAGTTTTCGATTTATGGTCCAAGTCATATTCAACCTCATATTGCACAGAAGGACCATTACTACAGTTTGTGGCCTTGATGCTACTGAGTAAGCCACTTACAGTTTGCTTCTATAAGTCAAAACAGCAAGTGAAAGCGATGTATAATATAGAAGAAAATTACATAAACCGAACTTTTACGACATAATTGGTGCCTAGAATTGAAAATATTAAAAGTAACCAATAAAATTTATCATGTTTTTCTCTTCAATATTCTTGTCTAACATTATCCAGTTAAACTTACCAAATATGTCGGAATTGCTTTCTTGGCATATTTACTTCACAACTTGGACGAGTATACATCAATTTGAAACGAAGCATTTTTTTTAATAATGTTATTCGTATTAAGCTATAGAGTTTAATTATTATCGCTCCATTGATTCAGTATGCGAATCGACCTCCACGGTGAGGTTGCCGTTTGGGGTAGGAAGCGTTGGGACCAAAATTTCATTAAAGATAATTTAAGAATTTGTGTTCCCGTAAATTTCGATTTTATTCTAATTTGTCTTATAAATAGGAAGTTGTCATTAGACTTTCGGATTATCATTATAAAAGAGAAGATAAGTGTATATTTTTCTCTTGTAAATCCCTTTTAATCATAATGAATTATTGCAGCGTTGAAAGAGGACGCAGTCTCACATTAAGACGAACTTCTATAATTCTTGTTTTCTTTATTTCTTTCCATACTAATCGATTACTAGCTATGGAATATAATTTGGGTTTCTAATTCTCAAAAACTTGACGATAATACTTAATGATAAAGTTTAAAAGTTCGATTCACCCAGTTTAATCGTAGAAAATAGTCTAAATCATTGTTGATCTGGGCGATCCAGGTAAACAAAGTCACTATTATACTTGAAAGGAACAATTAAATGAAGAGGACAAAGTTGTTGCCTTCAAAAATTGTTATCAATCTTAATGCAAAGATGGAAGACATTGCAGACAAGTGATAGAACAATTTTCTAATGGGCTCCATAAAACCCTGTGGAGCCAATTAGAAACAGGCCCACTCTTAGCCCATCCATTTCATTTTCGTCTGTCGACGAGAGTTAATTAATTCTACCATAAAGACTTATCACATTTTATTTCCTATACAAGCCATCGTTACTACTTTGAGCCTAAAATTCAAAGTTGTCCATCTAACTTCTATTTTAAGCCTATGTTTCGTCTAGTTAAAAATTAGATATTAAATTTTAGTGAATAATGGTGTAGATAAAAATTATAGATTTCATAAAATATTGATTGAAAAAATAAATAAATAATGAGGGTCGACCAAGAATTAAGGGTGTTTTTTATTGATTTTATTTTTCATGAAAAATGTCATTTTCTCGCCTGACTTCCTACTTTTGAGGTGTTTGATTGACATTTTCTAATGGAAAATAATTTTCAAAAGCTGATAACTGACCATGTTTTCCTCAAAAATAAGGAAAATATTTTTTTTTATTGGAAATAGATTGTTATAGAAAAGTACAACATTTTTTAAATTGAAATTTAAGCCAATCAAACATATTTAATTTAATAATTTTCATGCATATTTAAATTGTTATAAGGAAAATATTTTTTTTTATGGGAAATAGATTGTTATAGAAAAGTACAACATTTTTTAAATTGAAATTTAAGCCAATCAAACATATTTAATTTAATAATTTTCATGCATATTTAAATTGTTTAGAACTTATTTTCTTTTCATGCAAGTTTCATGCATATATACAATAAAACAAATTCCAATTATAATTGCTTTAGTTCTATAGGAGAAGGAAAATGTCATGTGTACACTCTTTGTTAATATTATTATTGACATTACAAGAGATGTTAGCGTTGATTGGGTGAAAAAATTTGTCAGACTAATAGTGTATTGTCATATGATAAAGTATAAAAAAAATGTACATATAACATGATTGATATTAGAAAAGAATTTTGCTGTACAAACATAGTACTTGACATAGGGGATGACGCCCCCTACACACATGGGGGAGGTCGGCATTTTTTAATTCAGTTCGGGATCCACATGCAATGTGAGAGGTCGTTCAATTCTTATGTCGAGCATTATGTTCATTATTCAGCTTAATTCATCAGAAAAAGACAAGGAAAGTTGCGTTACTTCTTAATTTGACCGTCATTCATTCATCGTTTCGAAAAGCCCATTGATGCGTGGAAAACAAAAATTGGATTCACATTTCACAAAATTAAGCCACGTGTGAAGTCCAGTCCATTAGTCACGTCTTTCTCATTTCTCTCCTCGCTCGTGTCATCTCATACGAATGGTTTTGTGGCTTTAGCCCTTCTCTCTCTCTTCTAATCATCTTTTGCCTCTTCTTTTCTACTTTCCCCTTTTGCCCTTTTGGGTTTTTCTTTGTTTTGTTCATTTTTTGGCCTTCTCTTTCCTACTATCCATTTTTGCCCTTTTGGCTTTTTTGTGAAAATTGCAAAATTGATTCCCAATTTGTAATACCATTATCAAGTTGATGCTCAATAGAGTTGCACAGTAGTCTTCACGTAACTTTCATAAATTTCCAACGCGTGTTTGATTGTGCAAATTTTCCATGGGAAATGGAAGGCAAATTCTATCTTCCACTTTAACATTATTTGATGACAATTTTTTCCTTGGAATTGATTTTCTTCGTTGGCCTCACACGATGAAAATTTCTATGATTTTGATGAAAATGAATTCCCACCATTTTGGTGGGAAATGGCTTTTCAGTTTATCTTTTATTTTATTTTATTTTTTTGATATTGGAAAAAATTCTAGACACAATGGTAAAAAAATTTATCACTTTTATTGACAATTTCTATGCAAAACAAAGCCAAACGAATGATATTCGGTATGGTAATTTTTCTTAAAATTTATTATTATTATTTTTTAATTGGAACAAATTCTAGACCCAATGGTAAAAAAAATTATCACTTTAATGGACAATTTTCATGAAAAACGGAGCCAAACAGATACCAAACTTTCAACATTTTCCAGTTGGAAAATTGGAAGAAAAAAATTCACTTTAATGGACAATTTCCATAAAAACGGAGTCAAACAGATACCAAACTTTCAACATTTTCCAGTTGGAAAATTATACAAATCAAACATAATTAATTATAATTCTCAGTAAAACAAATTTTAGACAATTGAATTCTCCGTAATTCATTTTCTTTCTACCCAAATTCCATATTTGCAATCGAACGACCCTAATTACTATCTAAGTTAGAAAACATAACTTAGCTTTACAAAATTATACGTACAACTTACGCTTTAATAGAGATTTAGACAATTCTCATGACTGTAAACTAGTTATGCGAAGGGTCAACTATCAAATTTTTAAAGATCAAGAACCAACTTACTATTAAGATATATTGATGGCAAAAATGTAATTTTCCTTTCATTTCAATCGAAGCAACACAAAAAAAACACTGTTCCTATCAATTCAAAATGAATAATGCTATTTATTATGACGATGGTAATTACCTGTTTAGGTGGTAATGAACATCTTAATTTATTGTCATTTGCCTCCTAATTTATTATTCAATGAAGTTGCGATACAATTTAATACAATTGAATAATAAATTAAATAATTTATTGTCACCTAAACTGATAATTATGGTAGATAGCAAAAGTACACATTCAAAATTTCGCATGGCTATGCTTCACTTTATAAGAACACCTAATTATAAATAATTGGCGTTGGGGTCCAAGTCCATTATTGAACGCCACGTGTGCTTTTAAAGTAGCCAATTTGCCTATATATGCAGAGGGCCTGCTGCCAAGTGAGAAGCGCACACACTACACACACTGTAGAAGTTGGAAAGAGATACGGTTATTACTCAAATTCTCGTTCCTGTTTTTCCTCTCTCTCCAAGGTTTTGGGTTTTTCGATCTTGTTTTGAAAAATGTTTATCGAGAACTTTAAGGTTGACAGCCCCAATGTTAAGTACACTGAGTCCGAGATTCATTCGTTGTACAACTATGAAACCACAGAGCTTGTTCATGAGAACAAAAACGGCACCTACCAATGGACTGTCAAGCCCAAGACCGTCAAATATGAGTTCAAGACTGATGTCCATGTCCCCAAATTAGGGTCTGTCTATGTGTATATAATATATGTATATGTGTATGTATAAGTATGTTTATGTATTATTTGATTTTTGTCTGTGTTGTGATGCCGTTTCGATTCTTTGTAGGGTTATGCTTGTTGGATGGGGAGGCAACAATGGCTCAACACTTACTGGTGGTGTCATTGCAAATCGCGAGTGAGTTTATTATATTTGTTTCAATCGCATAAAACTTTTATATTGGTGTTTTTACCATAGATTTGTTCAAGATTTGGAAAATTAATAAATATAAATTAATCGTGATTTAAACAAGGATTTACCCTTTGATGAATGGAATGGAATATATGGCAAAAAATTGACATATGGGTTCATGAAAAATGGCAGAGGAATTTCGTGGGCTACAAAGGACAAGGTGCAACGAGCCAATTATTTTGGCTCTCTTACGCAGGCATCCTCAATCAGGGTTGGGTCTTTCAATGGAGAAGAGATATATGCTCCATTCAAGAGCCTACTCCCAATGGTACCTTTATTTTTAAGTAATTAATTGTTTTTTTTATAATTTTAATTGTTGTGTATAATTTTATTATTATTTGACTGTGATTAGGTCAACCCAGAAGACATTGTTTTTGGAGGATGGGACATCAGTAACATGAACTTGGCTGATGCCATGGCCAGGGCTAGGGTATTTGATATTGATCTGCAGAAACAATTGAGGCCCTACATGGAAAACATGGTCCCACTCCCTGGAATCTACAACCCAGATTTCATAGCTGCCAACCAAGGTTCTCGTGCTAACAACGTGATTAAAGGAACCAAGAAAGAACAAGTTCAACAAATCATCGAGGATATGAGGTATAAAATCAATCAATTTTGCTCTGGAATAGTAAAAGATGGACATAACATTGTCATTTGATTTGTTGTAATTGGTGATTTTGTTTTGAACTTGTATTATTAAATAGGGAGTTTAAGGAGAAAAACAAGGTAGACAAGGTAGTGGTCCTTTGGACAGCCAACACAGAAAGATACAGCAATGTAATTGTTGGGCTAAATGACACTGTGGAAAATCTCTTTGCCTCACTGGAGAAGAACGAGGCTGAGATATCTCCTTCAACCTTATATGCCATTGCTTGTATTCTTGAAAATATTCCTTTCATCAATGGTAGCCCACAAAACACATTTGTTCCAGGTAATTAATTACCCATGACTTGTCCAACGATGTCCAATACTACATAATAAACGTGTAAATTCCTTGAGAAACTTAGTTTCTTATAGAACGTCAAGTGATGAGGGCTATTTGAATTTTCAGGCCTAATTGATTTGGCCATCCAAAGGAACAGTTTGATCGGTGGAGACGACTTCAAAAGTGGTCAGACCAAGATGAAATCAGTGCTTGTTGATTTCCTTGTTGGAGCTGGTATTAAGGTATAATACTATGTATGTAATTCACTGTTGTACATGGAATTATATTGTTCCTTTTCTAGTTTCTTAAGGATTCTTGGTGGGGTGTTTTTGTGTGACTGCAGCCAACATCAATAGTGAGCTACAACCACTTGGGAAACAATGATGGCATGAATCTGTCAGCCCCGCAAACCTTCCGTTCCAAGGAGATTTCCAAAAGTAATGTGGTTGATGACATGGTTGCTAGCAATGGCATACTCTATGAACCCGGAGAGCATCCTGATCATGTGGTTGTCATCAAGGTATGTGCCATTGTGATCCTAAAATTCCTGCAGAATCAGATGATTGATCTTATCTTGTGATTGATGGATGGATGGTGCAATGTGACTGTAGTATGTACCGTACGTGGGAGATAGTAAAAGGGCAATGGACGAGTACACATCGGAGATTTTCATGGGTGGGACGAACACCATCGTGTTGCACAACACATGCGAGGACTCTCTTCTTGCTGCTCCAATCATATTGGATTTGGTGCTGCTTGCTGAACTTAGCACTCGCATACAGCTTAAAGCTGAAGCAGAGGTCTGTTCGGTCCATTCTATTGCTGTTTTAAGTGGCATTTGATTAAAATCAATTATACTGACTGGTGAATATATTTTCAGGGCAAGTTCCACTCATTCCACCCTGTGGCTACCATTCTCAGCTACCTCTCCAAAGCCCCACTTGTAAGTTTTTTTCTCTCATTAGTGTTCATTTTTGCTCGAAGGGCTCAAAATTGTGTCACATTACTCGTCCTTGGTTTGAATCTTAGATGTCTGAGGGCAGTTAGACTAGATTTCCCTGAATAGTGTAATTCCACTCAATAAAATCGAATATATTTAAACAGGCACAGATATCGAGTTAATAACTGAATGATATGTAAAATACAAGAATTATTGATGGATGCGTATGACAAATAATTTGCAAACTTTGAGAGAGTTATTTCAGTTGGATTGATCACGGAGAACAAATAATTAGTAAGTGGCATTTTTACATGAATTCATTCAATATTGCTCTATTGTTGATCAGAAAACATGTGGTCCAACACACTTGTTTTGGAATTTCATTAATTCTTGTGTATACATTGAACTCGACAAGATTAGACATGATTAAAAAGAAATGCATGTGATAAATTAGTAAACAATGGTCCTTTGATTGTATTGGAAAACAGGTACCACCGGGCACGCCAGTTGTGAATGCACTTTCGAAGCAGCGGGCAATGCTTGAGAACATAATGAGGGCTTGTGTTGGATTGGCACCAGAGAATAACATGATTCTGGAGTACAAGTGAAGATTATCACAGTTGAAGAAAAGGGCAAAAGAACCATTTTCCTTTCCTTTGCGTTTTCTCTTCTTCCATTACTTAGTACAAAAACATATAACTGTGTTTTGGGGTGTAATATCTTGGAGCAAAGATTTCTATTATCATATCAAGTGTATTTCTGCTGCTTTTAGCGTGAGTGACTTGTGAAAATAATATTTAGCTTATCCAGAAAGACTTCGGGTTTTATATATCGAACTACAAATAATAAAAGAAAAATGAAATTTTCTGCTTGCTGCAATAGTGTGTGAATTATGTAGTAGCAAAATATTATTCGAATTACTTCGATGTATCAAAGGTGGGTAGAGAAGTCTAGCCCGCTACGCATGAGGATCTTCATTGGGTGTTTCGTCTAATTTTTGTCTATATAGTGCCAAACTCTGCAGAAAGAAAACAAGTGATCAAAGATAATCCAAATATCGGATTACCTACAAATAATTGAAGGATTTTAAATAACATTTCATGTTCCAAATGCTTCAAATGGTTATATTCCTAGAGGAGCTTGATAACTGCATTTGTAAGCTATGGTATCGGTCTACTGGTCAAATGCTTATTTGAAGGTGCCAATCCTCGAAGAAATCTATCGATGCTTCGCCATTTAAGTAAATGGAATTCTCCTTTGTCAGCATATTCAAGCTACTACGGTCATTCCTAGAATTTGTTTTACAGTGGGGGTAAAACAATTGTGTTTACAGAACAATAATGAGGTCTAATGATGTGATCCAGATTAAACTACATAACCTTTTACATGTGAAATTCCCTTAATTTTATTAAGGTTGAAGATGATATGGAAAAATATGGCATAACACTCTTCATTCGACAAAATAATAAAAAGAATCACAAACAACTTATATACCTCTGTATAAGCATAAACACCAGCCTCTGAAGATCCAATGGGACTTCCTCTCCTGATGAAGTTTTGGTCCTTGTATATGTAGAGCATTGGTACACCAGTTGAGAGTTCTAAATTGATAACCTGTTAATTACAAACCAACAAAACTTTAATTAGAAGTAATGTAATGGTATAGGTATCCTAAAGGATGGTAGATAGCGTTTGTCACCTCCTGAGGAGTTAGTTTATCAAGATACATAATAATAGACCTCAGTGAATTTGCATGAGCTACAACCATCACATGCCTTCCCCTCAAAAGCTGGGGCTCAATCTGCAAAAATAATTTTCCCTTGTATTCTTTAGTGCAAACCTTGGGTGTCATTTATATTCTCAAACTTTTAATGCAACGTAAGAGTTGTGCTTACATTATCTTTGAAGAAAGAAACTGCTCGTCCCAAGCACATTTCCAAGCTCTCTCCATTTGGAGGCTGAACATAGTAACTTCTACGCCATTTATGAACCTGCTCCTTCCCATATATCTCAGCTGTTTCCTTCTTATTAAGACCCTGTAGCTCTCCATACCTACAGGCAAAAGCACTCGTTTTACAAAGAACCAAATGCTAAATGGCACGCAAAGATTATAAATGAGCAAGAATAGAGGCATGAAATTACATTCTTTCATTCAGTTGCCATGCCTTAACAACAGGAATAGATTGCTTCTTGGTGCCGTCACTATAAATTTGACTCCATATCCTTGCTTGTTCAGTCTCCTTATGAATAACTATAGGCACCTGAGAACTTTTGAGTAGGTTAACTGCCAACACATATCAGGCTTTAATCTTGGTTTATTACTCCCCGATCCAAAACTTGAGATAAGGGGTGTAAACCAAAAAAATATTCGTAAGTGGTTGTTAATGGAGTTGAAGTTACTAGGAGTCGAAATCAAGTTATGCCAAATTGCTTCACGTATAGTTCCTCAAACCACATTTTTTAAATGAACCAAAGTCAATCCGAATCAATCTTGTAAAAGATAGAAATGCATTCATTTCCTTTGCATTGATATGATCGATGATNCCTTTGTTTCACCGTTATTTCTAAAAACATCCCTACCTTTCTTTTCTTTCTTTTCTTCTTCTTCTTCTTTTTTTTTTTTTTTTACATTTTCACCCTTAATTACATCTTTGATTGCACGAAACGTCCTTATGTCAATTTTAATCCAACATTTCCGCTAAATGAACACGCGTAGTCAATTTTTTTTAAAAAAAAACAGAGGGTATTATTGTCTTAAAACATTTTATTCCTTTCCCCATCTTCTTCCCATGCTCCCCAAACCCCCACTTACACCCCCTTCGCTTGCATATGCAAGCCTTTCACACCAACCAAAATCTTGACCTATCAGCTATACTATTCCAGAAAATCAAGAATCAATGTCAAGTGTGCAACACATAGTAATAGTGAAGCAATTGGGGGCACAAAAAATTACGAAAAATGGGTACCCAAAAATCTTTTTGCGGCTAAGAAAGTATATAGATTGATATCTGGGGCAACCTTTAGCCCCATTGCCAGGTACATACCCTCTCCCACCACTTTCTTGCACTCCTTCGATCCCAGAATTAAGTTGATATTTTTCTTTTGCTTCTATCATTTTTTATTTTTTTTTCAATGATGAATTTTAAGTTGGGTTTTGGAATTTGAAGGTGGAAACTGATTTCTTGATGGGATTGTTTGAAAGAGGATTAAGAGATGAACTTGAAAATTTCAAAAAGTAAGCTACACGATTCCAATTAGCATGTTACTTGTCCATTTTGGTTGGTTGAATAAATATTCTTCCATTGTGAACAAGCTGCTCCTGCTCAATTTCTCCAAAGTGGTCAGAATGATATTGTGCAAGATTGAGGAAGAAGATGATTGGGGGGTGGGGGGGAAAGAAGATGAGGAAGGGAAGAAAATGTTTTAAGACAATACCCTTCCATTTCGGGAAAAAAATTGACTACAAATATTCATTTAACGGAAAAGTTGGATTGGAATTAACAGAATGATGTTTTGCGCAATCAAGGGTGCAAATGTCAAAAAATGGAAGGTATGGACGTTTTGCACAATAATAGTAAAAGGTACGGACGTTACATGCTAATTACTCCTTTTGTGTGTGTATGTCTAAATATTTTGGAGATAAATACCGCTTGTTACATGTTGAGCACATAAATTATTAATGTGGCGGTTCAGCATATACCAAAAAACCTCTTGAGTGTTTTCAGGACTGGATAATCGAGAAAATTACTCATAAACAAGTTTGAATGATCAAGTAATGCACAGAAACATATAATTCTTTAAATCAACTGTGGCTAGCTATGCATTTTGCTTTATCCCTTTTACTCAAGAAAATTCTAAACCAAGTAATAATAATAATATTAAGACCCAGGATGTCAAAGAAGATACAAAACCTCAGCAGAAGAGGAAACATGCTATGCGTGTAAACATTCCATTAAGTATCGAATGCAACATCATGACTAAAGAGTGCATGTCAAAATGCATTTGACAAAAACCAGCAGCAACAGTTATCTAGCCATGGATGCAAACGCATGCTGGAGATGCTCAACATGTTTGTGCTGTCCCTCTTACTTCTGATTTTTGAATCTAGAGATGAACTGAATTCATTGGGATGAATCAAAGACAAAAGTCTGTCCAATCTTTTGGAGACTATTCAGAAACATATGAAGACTTTGATTACAATGAAAAAGCTTAATTAGTTTGTGCAAAGTTTGAAATGCTCTGTACATTTCATAATATAGGGCATGTTCGGTATAACTTAAAATCCAATTAAAATTGAAAATGTGACCGTTATTAGGTCCCACTCGTCTAATAAAAGTCAACAATAACGGCTAGTTTTTCAATTTTAATCCAATTTTAATCTCTACCGAACACGCCCGTAGTCCTAATGTAAGCATATGAACGCTAAAACTTGATTCTTGTTCGTAATTATAAGAAAATATGAACTAGCATTTCATATTTTCTCTCATTCTGCCCCAAGCCTATAAATGAAGAAATGCTTAAAGACAAATTGTTCAAATACAAATTTTGAGAAACAATTTCGGCAGAGAGGTACCCTCAGGCAGCGGTGCTCTGTCAGAGCGAGCATAGCAGTCATTTGAGAACGAATCAGTGCCGACATATAGATGATGTCCAAAGGTAAGTTGCTAATTCTCTTCCCAGCTTCAATCGCTTCTTCTACTCCTTTTGTCGTTAATGGTACATCCACACAACCAGTGAACAAGTTCTTCTCATTCCACATTGATTCTCCATGTCTAATCAAAATCAAAGTAGACTCATCTGTAAAATGTATTGGCGACTTAGGTATGTTCATCTACAGGGACTAATAAAACAATTCGATCAGAAACAAGCACGCACAATAAGAAAAAGTAGTGACGCAGCCCCAAGTTGATTACCGAAGAAAGGAAGGATGATATGTAATGGAACTTACTCTCCGTTGTTTGAGAGACGTGAGCATTGTTGTACAAGGAGAAGACAATTGGAAGAGCCCTCAATTGATTCGACTTGTGAATAGAACATAATTTATACACATTAGAAATGTAAGTTTGTTTTATGCACATTGGGTTATTGTTTTGAAGTCTGACTACAACTGATCTAGTGGAAAAATCTTGAAAGCCCTTGATAGAATTACAAGCACCACCACCTCCTTTAATCCACTTGGAATTTACAGCTTGGTGAAAAGCAGAGCTAGCCATTCTTGAAATCCAAAACGACCCTTCAAAGTACAATATATTCAGATTAAATTCGTAATCCCAGAAAAAAATTGGTGTATATACTCGAAATCTTTCTATACCATTAGATGAAAGAATCGATTAAAACAAATTGCTGTCAAGAAAATCTTGTGATTTAATAAGACCATGCCCATTCCCAAAAATGCTCCATAAAAGATCATTCAATTAAAACATTGATTAACGCTCATTAATTTGACTACCCGTAAGCTCGTTCAAAAAAGGAAAACCGAATTTAACAAAATGTATGTTTGTGTTGTGATGAATAAGAAAAACGATTTCATTTAAATCACTATGATCAAGTTTTGCAACAACTGAAGAACAGGGAACCAAAACAGCATTGATTTTTAAAAAGGACGACCTAAGACGAAGAGTGGCGATGAAAATGTAAACTTGTTCAAAAAAGGGAAAAATGCATAGGTATGATTCGTAGTTACCTCAAAATTGGGTGAAATTGCGATTAAGTTTCAGAGGGATCTCAATGAGGATTATGGAGAACCCAAAGTGTGGAATGGAAAGTGCCGGCGGCGTCGTAGCAGTAGAAATTGCTTTGCTTTGGCCGGATTCACTTTCGGCTGTAACTTATTATGCACCAAATTTTGCGGTAAAATTTGCATTATTTTATTGGTTAATTTCACTGAAGTTTAAAACTTACAGAAACGGTCATTTAAGTTTAAATTTCTTTCACAAACGATTACTGAATTTTCAAATTTTTTGGACAAGTTTTGCGGTGAATTTTCGACAGCTTATGACCATCAAGACCGCCGGATTTGGATATCGTTGGAAAGCTCACAATGTTCTCTTCAATTATCACCAAAAATCTCCTCATAACTCCAAAGGATTTAGCCGAAATATACCCACGAAATCGACTACCGAAAAATCTGAAAATATACCCTCTTCAATTTTACATCAAACTAAAAGTTATATTCAATCATTACCTCTAAACTTACACCAAATAAACAATATTTATCATTTTTTTCTCTTTTTTATTCTTAATAATTTATTTATTTGAAAAATTATTTCTTTATTTATTTTATAAACACATAAATTATTTTAAATAATCGTGTTGTTGTAATATATTTCGTGTTAATTTTAAATAATTATGTTTGTTATATTTTAAGTCTTTTTGTGTTGCAATTTTAATTAATTGTTTGTTATATTTTAAGTTTTTTTTATGTTGCGATTTTAGTAAATTATTATTTTTTAAATTATTAAAATTTATTTTAAATTCAAATAATAATAATAATTTATTGTATTAAAAAATATATAATACAAATGATACAAATACCCTCCATCAATTCATTTTGGTAAATGGAAAAAAAAGAGTAAATTTGACTTTGCACCATTTTGCACCAAAATGGTGCAAACTTTGGTGCCACGTTGGAGAGCTTTTGCACCAAAATTTGGTGCATTTTGATGTTTTGGTGCTACCTTTGGAGATGTCCTTAAATGAGGATTTTGTGATATATCCAGCACTAAACGGTATTTTTTTTAATTTACACCCCTTTTTAATTTTATGCATCTTACAGACATCTAAGTGCTTAATTATGTGAATTTAATTCATGGTGAATGACATTAGGTTGCAACGATCTTATAGTGTGATTCAGCTTGATCTAGAGTACACGAAAAGGAAAAACATTGTACAAGGTGTTAGTGTGTGAGAGTTGTAGTGGCATAGTCACACCTTGTATTATTATTGTACGATTCTGTATTATTCTATTATTGTGTCGGTGTGTTTTTTAAAATACTAGGTCACGTGCATCTCTTGCACGCGGTATGTTTAAATTATTGATGTAATGATGTCTGTCGTTCAGTAGAAGGTAGATTCCCTGCCTTTGAACAAGTCAAATCCCGGCTTTCATAACACATCGAGGGAATCATAAGAATTCACCTTTGAAATATGTAAATTATGTTCCTAATGGAGCATGACAATGTTATTAGTGATCAAGAATGCAGTCTCATTTTGTTCAATCAAAGGAGGTATGTGACAAAAGTATAAATCAGCAGAGTCGCTGACGTTCAAGAAATCAAGGCACATAGAAAATGGATTAACTTATGGAACTTAGCTACGAATGGATCAATTATTGGCGCCAAAACAATCCATTACAAGCATTTTTCTTCAAAAAGAAAACATCTATTTTAACCATCCAACTTTGTAAGCCACAATTAAGTGATAAGATAACAAGATCTTGATCCAGAAAAGCTAAAGGCACATCACAGCATTGTTCAGAAACAATAACACCTCAAATATACCAGTGACAACAAGGCATTGTAACACACATCAGATTCTACATGGAAGCGAAAGTCGAAAATCAATTGTTTCAATCCTCGGCTTCCTGGTATTTCTGGAGGATCTGGGGGCAGCTAGCCAAAGGCACATTCTGGAGGAATCCCATAGCATTGGCAAAACGAGTGTCGGAAATCATGCCATTGTTGCGGGTGAGGATAACTCTGGCTTTGTCCCTGCCTAAGTCAGGAGTGCTGCATTCAGGATCTGAGCTCTTGGCCAAAACTGCATCACATGCTTCGTCTCCATGGTCACTCTGTACCAGGATATTGTATGTTCCAGTTGAATCGGTCACACCCTCAACCTCGTATGTAACTCGTGCGGTATCCCTGTCTTTGCACACAATTTTTACGAGAGCACCTGGCAAATACAAGCATCATACGATGATGATTAGAGTTATGTTTATCGTACAAGCCATTTTGCGTCAAGAGTGACTTTTAAGTGAGAATCTGTATTAGTACAGCTCATAAATCAATTTTAGAGTGCCTTTATGAATTTATTTACATTGCACCAAGAAAACTGAGGTGCTGGCCAATGCATTAAGAATAAAATTGGGAACAATATCTTAGTTCCAAATTTTGATTATGGTTTCACCATGCGTCCTGTCTTAGAATCAATTTGTAGCACCTTTTACGAATTTCCTTAAATGGTAGGAAGGCATTCAAGAAATTACACAGCACAGATCAAGGAACAATGTGTCTAAACCTACTGTCCAAATTCAAAGTCAATTGCACCAGGGATCTCTAAGATATTACAGTTTAATGGCAGGTCCATAGTTGCCCTTATTCCTGCAATTTTTCTGTCTTCCTACTTCTAATTTTGAGTTTGGCCTTTAATCTTACTACCCAAAAATGGAGAGAAGGCTCTCAAGTCATTAGCCAGGATAAATGAATAGAATATCCCTTGATAACTTGACAGAGTACCAAAATGCCTATTCTCTGTTTTGTTAAAAGGCAAAACAACGTATTTGGTTTTGAAAGCATTTTTGGCCTAGCTTAAAAGGTCAAGAGAAAATGGCTTCTCACCATCTTTTTTCGAGAAATATGACTCTTCATACTGCCCCAAAAAAATAAATAAATAAATTGGGCTTTTAAGCCACGCCAAACAAGCTCTTTTCAACCACGTGGAAGACCTTACCAAAATCAAACTAAATCAAAGGGGGCACTTTGGTGATTTTTTTGCAAAGATTGGAGAGATTATGATGATGTTTGGTTAAGCTAGAAAGCAACTTAAAAGTAACTTATTTGAAATGTAGTAACTCATTTACATTTCAAATAAATTCTTTTTAAGTAAATTTTAAGTAGCCAAACATCTTCTCATTTAGTTTGAGTAAGAGCATATTTGGCCATGCTTAAAAGTATATTTTTAGTGGTTTTGTCTTAGCAAAAAATCACTGAAAAAGTGCTTCTAAACACAGCCATACAAGCGATAAATTACTTGAGCATTCGTCCTAAGTGAGCGGAATACTCTCCGCAAGAAACACAGGCTGATATTTCGCATAAATAGGGACAGCCGATCAGTCTTGATCAAACCTTTATATCTCATCTCAAAGTATCCTTTATCTTTTCAAGCTGAAATTGAACTGCAAGTTCAAAGCACATCGTTCTTCAAATATGTACAGTCCACTTCAAGATCCAAGAGTTCAGGAGTGATTCTGCCAATCCCAATATTAACTCATTTGTGGTGAGATCTTTCCAATTTCTTGTTGTATTTGTACTGTATTGCGTTGCTAAGAATTACGTTCATGATTTTGTCGTTGTATGCCTTCAATTTGTATTAGGCTGAACTCTTATATTAACCTAATCAAGCTTTTCAAGAACCAGTCAGCCCCCATGGTTACTTCTTCTATCCAATTATAACGAAAGTCACAGCAATTTTTCCCCAAAACCATATAAGATTAGACACACTAACTAGATCAGCATCACAATGACTAGATCTAATCAACTACACAACCAAACCAGCTCAAATTCAAAAGGCACCACAACTTGTACACAAGAGAGCTAGATCCCAAAAAAACAAAAAAAGTAATCCAAAGCCAGTATGTGTGAGTGAGTGAGCATGAGAGAGAGTGGTGTAGTTACCAGCGAGGTACTTGGAGGCATCAGTCTCATATCCACAGCGGCAAGTGTCACAGTAGACTTTACCCGTTACAAGAAATGGATTGCCAGCAAAGCGAGCAGTAGCAATTGCTGGTAGCAAGCAGAGAGCAAACAACACTAGCAATTTAGCCATTTCTTTTCTTATTTTCAACAGAATATGAGTAATTTGGATGCAGTACAGAACAACTCGATAAGAGAAAGAAGGGAAAGTGGTAAAAATGAAGAATTAAGCGTCGGTGGTTCAGTGTCACTATATATAGGAGTGAGTGTGGGGGTGTGGATGGACTGGCACACAGCAGAGTCACGTGACCGGAGACATTTGATGCCTATTATTTCATTAAAATGAATTTTGTAATAAGTTTTTGAGAAATATGTAATTAAAAAATTAAAAAAAATTTAATTTTATGTACAAAATATTTTATTTTGAAATTACATTATTGAAAATAAATTTAAAGTAAAACAAATTTTAAAATAATAAGAATCAAACATATTAAAAGTAAGCAAAACCACGTCTTGCGGCAATCTCCTTTAGCGGAGATCTTTTTTAAGTAATGGGACATAATGTAACATCCCAAAATTTC